CTTCCCTGATGAACACTGAAGGGGCCCGGACCCCAAGCTATAAAACGCTTCTGATATCTTGGAACTGGATAAACCGATTGATTCTTTTAAATATGGTAACATATCTGGATATGTTTATCTGTTAGTTACGCATAATAAAGAGTGTAAAATTTTAATCATTACATATATTGCATAGGATTTTACCATAAAAATAAATAATCATATTCTTATAATTTTACTCGTAATAGATGCAACAAAAAAGACGGACTTCGACCAAATTTTTATTGTCTCAAACATAACAATTAACAAAAAAAAAAATACCATATTTTATTTAAATTACTAATTGAACACAATTTTTTAATACAATATAAATTACGGACTTCAGTCGTACTCGGTATTTCCCAAACATAACATTATGCAAAAAATTGAACTTTGTATCTGTTCATACTATATTTTATAGCTGTGCGTTATTAGTTAAACCGGTTTTCAAACTATAGTTATAGGAATTTATAGACAACGATGATGTTGCCTAATAAAAAATGTGCCCGCTCATCAGACGGGATATTTCTCTTTGTGCACTTCGCTCTTTGACTATAGTTTTTGTCATCGTAAGTACTAAAATAATTCCTACAAGGTGCAAATTCCAAAGTACAGATGTTTTTGTTCTTCTGATGTGCTCATCAGAAGATGTAATGATGTTGGTCACAAAAAAAAGCCTTGACAGACGGCACGACCGTGTGAGGCACAAAAACTGAGATTGGTAAAGTACCGTTCAATTCGAATACACACCATATTTTTATACAAAACAAAATTCCAATTTGCAATTTTAACAAAATTTTTATGGGAACATCTTAAAAATAAATTTCGAATCATGATAAAATTAATATTAACTGGTAATCCCACTATTTATTTTAAATCGAATAAAATACGTTATCAAACGGTAATATGTGCGAAACCCGGATGGAGACAATTTAGATTAAAAATATGTGAATTTAAAACGCGAAACTGTTATGTAAATCAGAAATACCAGTACCATTGACGTCACAGTGTCTATGGTACTGTTTATGTCTATAGGCAACAGCTACCACTTCTCATAAGGAGGACCATCCGTATCTGTCATTTCACGTTGCATAAAAAAATATCTAAATAATAAATAACTATGTCTAGAATCCAGAGGGCCTACCATGAAGTGTTTTCCGAAATTTCGGAGCCAAACGAAACACAAATTTGATGTTAAAATTACATAATACATGCCGTTTGGAAATATTAAAAATGTTAAAATATTGTTCCTTTGGACTTTAATGATAGGATGTATGATAAACTAAATGTTAAATTCCATTTATTGATGCGATTTTGGTATAAACAAAACACGAAATTGAGTCCGAAATTTCAGAATTTCATTTCATGGTAGACCTGCAGATATACGCTTAGTGACAAGCACATATCCGCTGCATCCACACAGCATGTAATCACTACGTTATAGCTGTATCTTTGAATAATATTGACTATTCATAACAATTCTAGAGCAAAAACTAATTGGATGAAACAATATGTAATTAAATATACGCAATTGTCCTCCATCGCCGTAATTATGTTTTTACACAATAAATATTGACGGCAAATAGCAACCCGTTCACATAACTATGTATGATCAATGGCTATATTTAATTATCGTTCAGCAGTTCTATGTAACAATTTGATGATGATAATAGACTGGAAAATATGTCTAGACTAGACATTAGTTAAATAAATAAAAAATATGCTCACGGATATCATCCATAATAAGATAGTCAAAGGCATTTGACGAGCGTTTTTTTAATGGATAAAGTTGAAATAGTAATCCCACCTTCGCGATTGGTATATGTATACTAGCGGTGTACTAGTGAGACATGGGTTAACAGACCTGCTTTTCTGCTCACCTATGATCATCTCTCAAGGTGCCCTGTCAACATATAACAACAGTCCATTCCATAATCGGAGCTGTGATCGGAGAGTGGGTCGGAAATTTAAATTGTCACACAAAGTTTTTTAGACAACCAAATATATAATGTATTATTTTTTCAAAAATCCACCGTTCTAAAAACAACTATTATTATAAAATATTCTATTCATTCATTTGTATATTTTATGCAATGTAATTTGATTAAAAAAAACATCAGATCTAGATTAACATACGATTCGACATACGATACATCAACATACGATTATGTGTACATTACTAGCGACGCGGTCCGAGTTTGTACGGTTTTTTTTTTTTTAATGAAAGACAGTCTCTGGTACTTACTGATTACTTAGCTTTCTATAGATGAAAGACTTTATAAAAGTAGTTGAGTACTTTTTGAGTTAATCCATTACAAACAAAAAATAAAATCTTTCCTCTTCATAATATTAACTGACATTAATTTATCATACACTCCTCGCAAAAATTAAGGGAACATAAAAATTATTGAAATTTTTGGGTGATTTTCAACAGGCTGTATTTCAGTGAAAAATAATCGTACAGGAAATTTAAAAAAAGGGTTTTGAAGCTTGAAAACTCTAGTTTTCAGATTTTTTGATGAAAAAATTTTTTGAGCTCCGGTTTCCATGCAATTCTTAAACAAAGCTGAAAATATTTTTTTTCTAAATTTTCTAGGTTTTGTTTTTCACTCTATGGGCATGGAAAATTTTTTTCGAGCTACTCCATTGTATAGGTCTCTTAGCGTGTTTATTCAGCTTCAAAAATCGCTTTGGATGGCTCAATTACGACCATTTGTCTCCGAGATATCGAACTTTGAATGCAAAAGCATCCTTTTCCATTCAACTGCTAATATCTCTGGAACTACTGGTCGCACAGCAAGCGGGCGCCGAGTTTCTTTATCTGCATAAAATTTTCTTGATTTTTTTAGATTTTTTTTTTTTGATAATGAATTTTTAAAAAACAAAAAATTGAATAAAAAGTGAAAAACAAATGAAATTATTGATTTTTTTTTAATTTAAGGGACAAAAACCTTGTTCCCTTATTTTTTCCAAAATTTCAATCAATTGGTCCGGGAAAAACCGTTGAACCGATCGCTCCAGGGATTTAGGGGATTCTTTAAGGAACAATAGACTGTAAAATTTTCCTCAAACCTTAGCTTTCCCGCCCATATTAGCGAAGATACAGCCAAGTAACCAAAAAAGGAGAAAAAGTCACTTTTTTCCACTTTTTTCAATTCAATGTTAGAGGTGGAAAAAAATTTTTTCTTCACTAACTCTTGACTGTGCTTAATTGGAAATTTTATGCAGATAAAGAAACTCGGCGCCCGCTTGCTGTGCGACCAGTAGTTCCAGAGATATTAGCAGTTGAATGGAAAAGGATGCTTTTGTATTCAAAGTTCGATATCTCGGAGACAAATGGTCGTAATTGAGCCATCCAAAGCGATTTTTGAAGCTGATAAACACACTAAGAGACCTATACAATGGAGTAGCTCGAAAAAAATTTTCCATGCCCATAGAGTGAAAAACAAAACCTAGAAAATTTAGAAAAAAAATATTTTCAGCTTTGTTTAAGAATTGCATGGAAACCGGAGCTCAAAAAATTTTTTCATCAAAAAATCTGAAAACTAGAGTTTTCAAGCTTCAAAACCCTTTTTTTAAATTTCCTGTACGATTATTTTTCACTGAAATACAGCCTGTTGAAAATCACCCAAAAATTTCAAAAAATTTTATGTTCCCTTAATTTTTGCGAGGAGTGTATGTTCCACAACTAACCTTTTATGAACAGTTGCGTAAAAAAATAATGTTTTTATTATTGTGACAGATATATAAGTGTCTCATAAAAATATCGTGTAAATATATTCTTGTCGCGAAGACATTAGAAAGTAGCGCAGGGCCACTTTCAACGGCCCTACTTAGTACTTATTAGTGTTAACTAGTAACTGTTCATTAAAGGCGAAGTGGTCGGTCAGTGCCGTCATTACCGTCGTATATTTCTACTTAATTATTATAATTTAAATTTTGTTCTAAAAAACAAACAATTAGGACAAAATCAGTATTGGTGATTGGAGGATACGAACTCTTTGATAGGGTTTTATTTTTATATTGAAATTTTATTTTATATTATTTTTATATTGAAATATTTTATACTAACTTTTGATTTAGTGGCAGATTGACACGTTTGCCACTAGTATGCTATTTCAATTTTGCCGCTTCTACCGACCTCTACAATTTGGTATCCTAGTTTGCAATCATATGAATTACAATTTTTTAGTCAGTAAAACATTTGTTCTCAAATTTGCCAGCCTAGGCTACATTGTAGCAGCTAATAAATTTGCCACTGTTTTGTTCGCATTTTTTTATGCATGTGTTTTTAAAAGTAGTTCTAAATGGCGTATCAAAATAAAACATATTTATTACCAGATTTTACAGGAGGCTTACTGTTTAGATGCATACAAAAGAAACATGATTAGTCGATTCATTCATTTACTCTACTGATATCTATGATTGATAATCATAATATATATATATATATATATATATATATATATATATATATATATATATATATATATATATATATATAAGGGTATCATATTTTTAATATTGATTATTCCATACTAAGCAGAACTTGTACCATTGGTATTAGACAAATGATAAAAATACATAAGAACTTTATTTTTTATAAGTTTATATGTATCTTTGTATATATACATATACATAAAATCACCCATCATCACAAATCACCCAGACCAAATTAATATTTGTATTGAGTAAATATTGAACATGCAACCATTGAAATCAAATCAAAGTTGAAGAAAAGATAATCTTTTTTGTTGTTTGAAAAAACTTTTCAATGTATAAATATTTGCTGTATTTTCTCTAAATTACAAAAATAGATTTTTTTAAGCTCACATAAAGAAAAACATGTGTTCACTATATAGACAAAAAGTAGCATGTAAATTTATATTTTGAGGTTGAATCTGTACTACTAAAACTCTTATAAATAATCATACAATCCTTTTATTCATAATATAAATATCTTCAGTTTGTTTTATACTTACTCAAAGCATCCAAAATTTCTTTGGCAGTCCAACTCAGAAGATGTTCTTTACTTTAACGGAACTTTGAATTGAAGAGTTGAGTTCTTGAGTATAAAAGTTTTCATTGTCTAATGAATTTTTTTATCTGTAATGAAAATAAAAACTAATAAAATAATACCTAGTTATATTTAGGTTAAATGTACCTTTTTTTTTAATGAGTGAAAATGGAATGTTAACCACAAAGGTTTTCAGGAAAAATTACATGGAGGTTTACCTGATAGGGCACATTGCTAACAATGGGGCAATTTGATCTATATTACTAACAAAGCCTTTCCCCCAGTTAAATGTGCTTAAATAAGCAACAGCAATAAAATACTTTTTTTTATTAAAATGGATGGTAACTCCATCTGCTCTATTGATATATGCCGGTTGGGAACCATGGCAATAGGTAAGATGAAAAGTCAAGTCAGTTAGCCCATAATAATGAATACACTAGGAATTCAGCACGGTGATTTCCAGGGGGAAATACGTGGAGGTGGACCTTCTAGGGTATGTTGCTAGCAATGGGACTAGTAGTCTGCATTACTAACAATCCCTTCCCCCCAACCATGACTGATAGATAAGTATGAAGTCAGGTCTTTTTTAAATGGATTTTTTTAAATTTTTTAAATAATAAAATGGAAACCTGCCTACACTAATGATATACATGGGTGAGGCTACAGTAAATGTTTTTTTTTAATGTGTCATAATGGAATGGTTACCCCACCCGTGCTAACAGTATACACCTGCGGGGCACCAGTGAAGGATGATAGGTGAGGATAAAGCAGGTCTGTTAGCCCATCATGACGAATTCAACAAGAATTGTTCACGATGGTTTCCAGGGGGAACCACGTGGAGGTCGACCTAATAGGGCATATTGTTAGCAATGGGGCTACAGTGAAGGTTGATAAGTAAAAATGAAAAGGCATGTATTATGATGAATACACCTAGAATTCAGCATAATGGTTTCCAGGAGGTCAGCCTGACAGGGTAATCCACATTACTGACAATCCCTTTATGAAATCAGTTTAATTGGCCCATCAACATTACAAACAACAATCCATTTTCAGTTCAAAGTACACTAACTAATATCTCACCTAACATATACTAGGAGCACTACCCAGACCCAAGCCTTAGCTTTCCTGTTATTCTTTTTTCATATATTTAATCTACTTTTCATATATATATTTATATTTATAAAACTACTAAGATTAAAAGACTTACCAATATTAAAGAATCTCTAAATTTATTTACAATAAACTCTTGTTGTATACTGTCATTAGCGTATTATAGTTACTTTTACAGTTCTTTTTTTTTTTTTACTATATTGGTTATAATGAAAAATTTAAATTCGGTATATTAATGTAAATAAACAATTGAATGATCGAAAACAAAACAATATCAACATGACCGTGTGACATCTGTCAGTTTGACTTCCATTATCTTAAAATAAAGTGGTAACATAGAACAAGAATTTATTCTTACCACAGATTAAACATTATTTCTATAAGAATTAGCGCTACTTCTAAAACTGACAATAAATCTGTGCACCATAGAAGTACCAATACACTAAAATAATATTCATAATACCTATTTATAATACGTTTGTAAGTAATGTTTCTCTAGGTAATTTAAATTTTGTTTTTTTTTTAATTCAATTGACCAAATGCATTGTTTCCATACAAATGATTTTTTTGTTCGAAATGATGCAGACTTAGTACTTTTGACATCTTTTGAAGGTCGTTATCCATACTCCTTTATATAGTTATCGTAAACATATATCATAAACATTAAGTATATCTGTGGTACATACTAATTATTTTTTATTTATTATTTGTTGGTGGCATTATATAAGTAATTATAATTGAATTGAAATAATAACGAAATTAAAATATTTTTCATATTACAGTTTATGGCTATATCCTACTACAATTATAAATGCAAAAGTTTGTGAAGATGCATGTTTATTATTGTTTATTACTTTTTCACGCAAAAACTACCGAACGAGTTTGAATGAAATTTAGTTCGAGCATAGGTTATTGTCTTAACTGAGGATATAGAATACTTTATTTAGAAATTTACGCGAGCAAATACGCTATATATAGGTAAATAATATATACAGGAGAAAAGAGATTATTAACAATGGAGTCCGATAGCCCAATTGCTAGCAATTATTAAGTCGACCTCCACGTGATTTCCCATAGAAACCATCCTGAACAATTCTTGTTGAATTTGTCACGATGAACTAACTGTGCTTACCTATCATCCTTCATTGGTGCCCCACCGGTATATACAGATAGCACGAGCGCGGTTACCATTCCATTATCAATCATTAAAAAAAAATATATACAATGTTTCACTGAAAAATATTTTTTTGTTTATATCTTTGTATATATATGTATTAACGTTTTACATGGAATTGGTCACACTGATTGTAATGAAATTTATAACCGTCTATCGTCTAGTATTGACTCTAAGTTCTTAATAATATTTGCTTGTTAATTTTACGAATAATGATATTATTTATTATGACCCAACAATTTTTTTTTTTTTTTATTTACAGATAAACCATCTAAATTATATGTTTGATGATTCTCTTGAAATTCGAAGAGGGAATGATGTTAGAAGTACCGGACAACGTGAGTACCTAACTATTTAGCTAATTAACACTTAACTAGTTTAACGTTTTGAAACAACGTAACGTGATGAAATAATTAAGATCTTAAACTGAATATACTATAAGTCTTATATCTTCATTATTTCAACCATTATTCGTCCACTTCTGGACATAAGCCTCCCCTATAGACTGCCATAAAGAACGGTCCTGAACCACCTGCATCCACTGACTACCTGCACAGATAATATAATACTATGCTACCTGTAACGCATTTCAGGTCGTCACTCTATCTAGTGGGGGGATGGGGGTCGTCCTACACTGTGTTTACCCGTACGTGGTCGCCACTCAAGAACCTTTCTTCCCCATCGGTTGTCGGTTCTTCGAGCTATGTGACCAGCCCATTGCCACTTCAGTTTGGTTATCCTTCTATATATATATATTGATATTTACTATTCTGATTCACACAAGCGAAGCCGTAGGATACGACTAGTTAGTATATATAATTTGGTATTATTCAGATGTGCTCTATGAGCTATCATATTCTTTAGCATGTATACTAGGCCCTATTTATAAACCCCAAAAGTAATAAATCCGAATCTGATAATGTCAAAACAATTGGGTATCAATTTATATTCTGTCGATGGAAAACACTGTTAATAAACTAACCGTAATAACGTCGGCTCGGCACTACATTTTAGGATTCATACCTATCTATACACTAATTGCTTGGAGAAACGTACGCATGTCGAATGTTCCACATAGCCTTTGACTACCTCGTTTGCGATTACTGCTATGAAGATATTTATATATATATATAAATATATTTTATTGAAGCAGACTGCCAGATAAGATTACACAGATGCAATTTAGATACACATTTAATAATAGCAATAGCGACGACTTATTCTCCTTGGGTATGCAATTGGAAAACATCCAATCGAGTTAGTCAGAAGTTTCAAATGAAATAACTGGGTAGGTAGGCATTATACTTAGTTACCCAACGGCCTTAAGTTAACTTTTAATTATAAGGTAAATTAGCTTAATTTTTGTTGTTTATCTCTCTAACAATGTGAAATTTCATTGTGACTTTTTCTATAATTTGAGCAAATGTGACTAGTGTTTTAGAAAATAAATAATAATGTCAACGCTTAAGAGGAGATTAAAAAAACAACGGTTCTTATGGAAGGTTAGTTAAATATATTTATACCTAATTATCTAATGTTTAGATATTACGATTGAATAAAAAAATTATACAACTTAAGTTTGTATAATAATTCGTCTGTATTTTCTATAGCTACATATATATCCAATTACTTTACTAACTCTGAATCCATTTTAATAATTCCCTTTTCAATCGGAGATAGAATTGGAATAGAATATACTTAGTTACTCCTGTATTCCTTTGATCTTTCTCCACATTAGTTTTATAATGATTAAAGCTTGTTACGAAACAAAATCTATATATTCCTCTTAGATTATATAAATAGAGCATTAAGTCTCAAAAACGGGTCAACTTTTTATCAGCTAATTATCAAATTAGCTGACTCGTTTTTTATTAATGTTCTATATACTTACACACGTAACGTGTATTGGCGTATCTATATTTAATTATTAAATAAAATTAAATAATAAAAATAAAATTCTGCACATTTTTTGCACAATAAAAAGGTACAGTATTTATTTATTTATTTATTTATTCATTATTAAATATGTGTACATAAAATGAGTTCTCTCCCAGTCAACCATTAAAAATACTCGAATGCGGTACTACTAATTATTGATATACATACATACTAAGACAAAATAAATATAGAAATTATAAAGGAATCGCTCATGACTATTTATCACGCAAAATTGTATGAAAAAGTTGACCCGCTTTTCTCGAAGCATTTGTATGGAGACATTCTATCTATATAATCTAAGATATACCTATATGTTTAGGTCATGTACCTTATTTTCAACGCGATATCTACTTTAAATTAATTATGAAATTAAATCAGATTGTCCAAATATTTGCCATAAACTAACATTTGAATCATTCACTTGTCTACGTCTACGTAGACTCGAGTCAAGAATATTATTCTACTAACCTATAATTAATAAACGATAAGAAAGATTTAGGTAGCGAGCGCACGTCTTTTTAAGTAAAGATACGCCTAGTCAGATGTGTAATTAAAAAAAAAAACATTTTATATACAACTTTACTTATAGGATAACTAGTAATTTACTTTAAATACGAGTACTTTTTTCAGTATTTATCGTGCACTTATACTGGTTTACAAATATTATGTTTTACTATAGAATATATTAGCTGTATATCTAATTAAATAAAGCTTAAATAAAATATACTATGATTCATATTATGACGCAGAATATATAACATTGTCTGTCCATATCATCCAATAATTAAATATATTGACATCGTGTTGGCATCAACGAATAAACCAGTACTCACAGTGATAAATAATGATCTATCAGCCTCATTGCTAATAATTAAAGATTGTGTCCTACAAAAAAAATAATTTCAAGTGTGCGAAAACCAGTTACGATCTAAAAATTAAACTATTGAACCGATTTTAATAAAATTTCTATGGGACCAATCTGTAAGTATATTTAAAAAAAAAAACAAATTATTTTGAATTCAACTGAACGAGTTATGAGGTACCCTAACAAAGACTTTAAGAGGGAGACTTTGTACAAAAGTCGATTGCTTGGGTACCTCTGTCCCATTCGTGTTTCAACCGTGAAGCAGTTGTGTTTGCATGGCTGTGTTTCGGTTTGAAGGGTGGGATGTGGCGTGAATTTACTGGGTACGGAGGAATAACACCTGAGTCCTCAGGAATGGCAACGCATGGGGGGTATCATGGGCGAAACAATATACTCTGTTATGTCCATGATACTGCTCATGTCTATAAGCGACGGTTACCACTTTCCATCAGGTGGGCCGTCAGCTTGTTTGCCATTCTAAGTTGTATAAAAAAAAAAAAAAAAAAAATACAACCGCAACAGCTCCTTCTTTTTAAAGTCGATTGAAAATATCGCACAGGTCGATCTCGAAACCATTGTGGTTAATTCATAGTGTATTCGTCACGATGGGTCAACTGTCCTGATTTTATTCTCACCTATCATTATTAACTGATATGCCGTCAATATGTCCTTTAGCCTAGACACTATTATCATTCCATTTTCAACCCATAAAATACAACCAGAAACCATTAGGCCAGTAATAAGATTTGTATAATTTCAAGGTGCTATCTGCTTCCTATTGTTATCAGTTACGCGATAATAACTGTGGGCTAATAAAAAAATTGATTTATTACTCATTTAGTAGAAAAGTTGACTTGAGCGTCAACAAGTAAAGTACCAAAACAAGGATCAACTAAGAATATTTTCCTTTGTTTGTGGAGTCATATATAATTATAATACCTAGTGAAATTACTGGATACTGTGACTCAAGATCTTTCATAAAGTATATTTTTTTATACAACTTAGAATGGCAAACAAGCTGACGGTTCACCTGATGGAAAGTGGTAACCGTCGCCGGGCAGTACCATGGACATAACAGAGTATACTGTTTCGCCCATGATACCCCCATGCGTTGCCATTCCTGAGGACTCAGGTGTTATTCCTCTGTACCCAGTAAATTCACCCTTCAAACCGAAACACAGCCATGCAAACATAACTGCTTCACGGTTGAAACACGAATGGGAAGAGGTACCCAAGCAATCGACTTTTGTACAAAATCTCCCTCTGGAGAGGGATATTATATAATATTATATATATATATATATATATATATATATATATATATATATATATATATATATATATATATATATATATAAGTATATTCACAAAACGGGAAAGAAAAGAATTAAAAAACAACAAATAACCTAATTATTAACATCTAAATGCAACTTTAATTAGATACCGTTTTGTCATAAGTAGGTCATATGAATACGTATATTATATCTAAAGTAATTAAAATGCAATATAATAAACTGGCATACCAGAACCGTATATAATATCTATTAGGTACACATTAAGACAAAACTATCGGTGATTGTACGTGCATAATAAATATTGACACAAGCATTTACTAAGCGTGCCATCTAATTGTGTGGTGCTATTCTGTAAAGTCCAACTCGATATTCACTTGCGGATCTACGAGTGATTTACATTTGTACTCTGTAAACAAGTAAGATCAATAAGTGTTAAATCTTTTTACAATTCTAATATTAACACCTGGCTGTTTCTGTATCTACTGTTTTTTTTTTTTACCTATGTATTGTATTATAAAAATCTTTACTGTATATACTTTACAATAAGCACATTAAAACGATTTAATGATTGACTGTCTTTGAGAAGCTGAAAGAAGACTATAGAATATTTGAAATATTAATATTTGAAATTTAAATGTTCTGCACTAGTATCAATAATTACATTTGTATTCGTTTCTTGCAGTTGCTTGTGCAGACGAATAAAAATATTGTTTTTTTTTTTAAATAGTTATTCTAGAGACAGAATCATTTGGTAGGTGGCGGTGTAGTGAACTGGTGTAAGCGTGGTACCATTCTTAGGAATTCATGTTAGTTTTCAAAATTAATTTCCCTTCAATCCCCGTTCCCAAAGCTTACAAATAATAACAATATAAAAATTAGATGATGTGAAAATGTAGGTGACGTGAAAGTGAAGTGAGCAGCGAAATTAAGTGCGGATTGTACAGAATAGTACAGCTGCTCTCAAATGTACAAAGGGTTGCCACTACTTAGGTGAGTAACTATTATTTGAAAATCGAAGATTATTTATTTACAAACATGAGTTTCATATATTTATTTATTTATTGGAACAACAATCTGCAATACAATATTATCTTAATACTAATGGTATCATATAATTAGAGTGTTTGCAAATGTTTAACCAATATCGTTGTCCACGAAAGAATAACATGGAAGTTGCTAGGACTAAACGCAGCTCTGGCTTGAGTTACAATATTAAAGTGAAAAACATAACATTTGTAAC